CGGAATGATGATCGCGTTTTACGTCTAAAGAAATTGATTTGTTGATGCGAATGAAGAAATTTAAATATTGCATTGCCCGAGAGAAACGTGACAAAAGGGAAGGCCGTCCGTCGCCGGGAGTCGGAGGAGATTTGCGCTGGAGACTGAAGACTGGGGCAAGGTTTTTGATTGAAATCGAAATTTTAAGATCAGATTAATTCAAAAAGGGAAAATGTATGCTAATTAAATACACATATATGTATGTGTGTGTGGTAGGGCAGGGAAAGCTTCAATCTTTATGGAAATAATTATTTCCCAAAGACGAAATACGGAATTTCTGTTTCAACGAAATGAATCATAGCTGCGATAAAGTTTCTTAGTTTCAATCTTAGCTTTTGGTTTTCAACCATTCCCCGGAGATTAGAAATCCACAGTGCTGTTGCCAGATCCCCCAACGAATCCATTTTTGTACACATTTTCGGCACGCTTCATGTTCGTTGTGTTACGCATTAGTCATGCCATATAATACCATATTGGGAGCATCTAAATTACGTATTCAACCCAAATAAGGGACAGAATGCAATTTCTCTCTTTCAATGAACATTTCTCTCATCTTGTGGGCCACTTTCAAAAGAGAGATTCAAGCAAATAAACTACAAAACAAAAACCGCTAATAGATGTCAAATGAAATCAGTCAACGGTCATTGAATGGATTGACAAATGCTGAAGAAAGATACACATTCCGCCCATCACCATCCACCGCCAACGTACTCGAGCAGCAACTCCAGATTAATTATCCCCATCAAATGGATGACAATGAGAATTAATTGGCCAAGTCGAACTCTATTTTTGGAGCAGACTTTTGGGGCCTGTTTGGAGGAGCCACCCACCTGTATGACATAAGCTAATGCTCATCATCATCTTTAGCATTTTGGCCATTTATGGCAGAAGCCACACATCTCAGTTTAGAGTCTTCTGTTGTTGCGGATTTTTTATGGTTCGTTTCTGGCTGGGAGAGTGGGTTTCCCGTTCCCCGTTCCCACCCCCTTTAACCTTTCTTGTGTGTGTTTGTGTGGCAACATATGATTTGGGGTTCGTGGTTCGTGGCTCGTGCAATTGCAATCGCTTTTTGGAGCGGTAGCTGTAGCGGGAGAGCTGGAGGGTTTTAGTGTAGTTCTTTTATCTAATCGGCTTTATTGATAGCAGCCGTCGAACTCTGTGTGCCCGAACTACCACTCCCCAGACGACAGTTCTGCAGTTCTCAATCGGTTTTTGTATACCCTTCCATTCCACAGAGGGAACGAAAATGAAAGGTAACTTAAGCTTCGACCCTACCCTGCGGCATTTCTTGTTACCATTTTCTTTCACTTTTTTTTATGGGCGCATCGTTAAATATGTGTGTCATACCCCTAGGGTGGGTCTCTGGGCAAACACTCTGCTGTCAGAGGGGGAAGTGCGGTGTGTGGGGTGTTCGCTAGGAGTCGTTTGGCGGGGGGTTGTTGCTGCATGTTGGCGTTGTATAATGTTGCAAAGTCTGAAAGCGGTTACTGACCGATGTTCTTTTTTTGTTTTTTTTTTTTTTTTTGCTATGGCTTCGGGTTGCGTAAATGTTTCTTTAAATGCATTAACTTGTCGCCTTTGCAACTTCTGTTTGAGGCATCCCTCATGCCCCTCCCCTCTTCTTGCACCAGTAAGGTATTCAGAGCGGCTTATGTGGGGCTTTGCAGCCATACCTTGGGGCCCGCATGGGTTAACTCTGTGTGTGTGCCAGAAAGGCGGCAAAAGTTGATGCACAAATTCTCTTATGAGTCGCGTATCTAAATAAAGAGAGAGAGAGAGGGGAAAATACAGGGCCTCTCTCTCCCTCTCTCTCTCGTGGGCAGCGTTATCAGCGTAGTCGGCTCTCGAATTGGAATTCCACGTAATGTGGGGCATGCTGCAAACGGGAACATTGGCTAAGTTATTGAAAATGGAAATTTGTAACCCTCTATTATCGACCCTGAATATTATCCCCTTGGGTGTTTCGGACCACACTTTCTTATCGAAAAATCATGGATAAATGTAAAATGATTTATTTTGATTGAATAAAAGCCAGATGCCCAGCTCCAGTTCCAGTTCCAGATGCTGATTCGTGTCGCTGCTTCTCACAGTGCCAGTGGGCTCCGTGCCGTGCCCCCCCCCGTGCCCCTTGTATTGATTCAGCTTGCATAAACACTCGAGTTTTCGTATGGTACGCGAATGTGAACAAATATTTAGTGGGATTGCGTTAAGAGCTACAGAAATTAACAGTTTTCAATCTACAATAAAGTCACTCCACTCCACTCTCTCTCTCTTTTCTCTCTTTCCCTTTCTGGTTTCAGTGTGTGTGTTTTCGGCGAGTCTAACCTTCAAAAAAAACACACAGTTTTTGTAGTCCGAAAAACCAGTCAAAAAACTTGTTGAACTTGTTTTTCGTCTTTTTTTTTTTTGTGTTTTGTGGGGGTCTGTGGGTCTGCCAGCAATTTGCATCAGCATCTTTTGTCTCTTAATGATATTTTAATAACCGAAAAAGCTGCAGATTGGCCAAGAGTAGAGTGTCCTTATATCAATGAGGCGCGCTCAAGGTGGATTGTAGGTCAGCGGATGCACCGATCTTTCGATCGCACAAACAGATATTCAGCCGCCGGAGAACCTTCGATTTTTCTTTTGGCCCAATTTCAGCGGCATCTAAAACGATACGGAAGTTTATTTTCGTAAAGCATTTTCCACCACTCGCTTCTGGCCATAAATTTTCCCTCACTACTGCGTCAATGACACTGCTGCTAATTTCCATAGTATCTCTGTATCTGTATCTGCGTCTATGTATATTCTATATAGTCGATGATTTTCTGATGCCCATCCACGTCCGCTTGCGTGGGCGCTACAACGTCGGCGCGTCGGTTGCGTGTTCTTTTTTTCTCTCTCGATGGTTTTTAGCCGAAAAAGTTTTCGAAAATTATTTTAATACTACACATCCCATAAGCATTAGCCCACACAGATACACACGCTCACGTAGATGATGAGTCTAGCATTTCTCAGCTCATAAATTAAGTTAGAATTTATATCTTTGGATATCAAGTTGAAATACGGAAAAGCAATTTGCAGCTGACATCATGCGAACGTATCCACAAATTCTCAATACTAACTAAATAAAGTCGAGTCTAATGGTTTAAATACCCACACAAATAAACCACATACATGTGTACACTGTACAGGCATGCATAAGGTTTATTAATTATCTACAGAGTCGTCAGAGATAATTTACGGGCAGCATTGTTGGTGTGCTGTGGCGGCAATATCTTTGCCAAAGATATGAAGGCATTTTGGTAGCTGTCAAAGGAAATCGATTCGCCCGCAAAGGCTTTTTGGGGGCATAGGCATGGAAATAGATAGCAGAAATATTATTGCACAATTATTTTCTAGCAAAGGCCAATATTAAACATGTTTCCTATGCGAAGACTGTTACATACTAGCTATGCCATAAAGCATAAAAATAATCTCTTTGGGCTAACATAATCTTTGCAAATTTTATTTACAGGGCAAGTGTATTGGGAATTATCTATTGGTAGTACTAGTTATTTCTCTTAGAAATATTTACCCAAAAAAAAAAAACAACAAGAAATACACTAAAAATAGCCTGGAATCTTCTTTCGCACCAACATCAAAAAATAGTCATCACCTCACCATATTCACGCCCTCCCTTCCTTCACCACCCGCCAAGTGAAAACTTTCAATAGATTTCCCTTTTCGAAGACTTTGATTCATTTGCCGCTTGCCGCAAAAGATAAGATAAGATTAAAGCACACACCCACACAAGCTACGAGAATACAAACAAAAAGTAAAGATAAAAACAAAACACACAAACACACACACAAAAAAATAAACACAAAATACAAAGCAAGGCAAAGGCATAAGGGAGAAAAAAAAAACAAATAAACAAATGCGATAAATATCAATTTGTGTGCCGTCATCGATGATTAAATCGTTTTGCAACCTTTTTGCAAATTCTTGGCTAATTCTAACATTCCCAACCCGTTTCCTAAACCATATCACACATCTCTCTCTTTCTCTCTATCTCTCTCCCAATTTCTCCCACTCACTGTATCTCTTTCTCTCGAAATATATATATATATATTTACAATGTATTTTTTTTACAGTATTTTTTATTAATAACAAATATATTTCTATCCTATGCGATCGGTAAGTGCGTTAAACAATTTATTTCTCTGCTATATGAAACGGAAACAACAACCATAAATCAGTGAATGAAATATGAGCGTAATAATAATTACGCTCTCTCTTACGGCGACTCTCTCTTAAATGTTGCTTAAGCTAAAGCACCCGCTGGCAATGGATATATACAATTTACTATGTTCAGGAACATTTAGTGCACTTTAGTTGATTATTTTTTTGTAGCTATTATTTTTTTGGTCAATGTGCATTGCGCTGTGCCCTGCGCCGCCAACGCTCCAGAAACTGCTGCCAATTGGATGCTGCTCTCTCGTTCTATCTCTCTCTCTGTATACATCAGATATATGCATATAGTATATATATCTGGAACTATTTTTAGTGATTATATCATAAGTTGTGTATGGAAAAGAACTTTTTATTTTGCACAAACACAAAAAAATTTCACGCAACGCCTCATACGATCTCTCATAGATGAGTTCGGATTATATTGTATTTATGTATGTGTATGTGGATAATTATCCGTATAATGATTTTGTTTCGAATTTTTAATATCATTTAATTTAAGCATTGCATTCTGCATAACAACATAATACCACCCCACCCCTTTGCGCATTACTAACCCAAAGAAAACCGAGATGAATCAGTTTAAACCATTCCATACATTTAGTCCTAGAATCGCTCTCCATCTATCTGTCTCTCTCTCTCTCTCTCTGGCTCTCTCTTATTATCTATATGTCTGTCAGTCTTGGACGACCCCCTAAGCAATGGCACAATCCTAAAGATATGTTTTCTCTCTTTTATTCTCATTTCAGATAATGTAAAATCAGCTTGAACAAAAAAAAAACATAAAAAACAAAAACAACATTAACAGCTGCGTCTATCTATACTAGATATATATATACACACACACACTCACATCTACTATATAGTGATATAAGAGTTCGAGTTTCCCCCTTCCCTCCCAGAAGTCAGCTATCAGCTATATCCTCCCCAAAAGCTTTGTGTGCTCCGCAGCAAAACGTGTAAAACGCTAAGAAAAAAAAAAAAAAAACAAAAACCATCTTCTATTAAGATCTATATGCTATATATACCTTACATATATATATATATACACTGAGTGCTGATCCAAGTTTTAGTGCTGTTTGTTTATTGCGCGTGTGTGTGTAAACTCGATCTACAAACTCCAAACAAACAAACAAACAAATAAAAAAAAAACGCGTTCTAGTCGCCAGGCGCTAAGCTAAAAAGTCTATTTGAAAGCTATCCTAGATCCGTATAAAGCATATAAACAAACACACACACACACATCTCAACTCATATATATACATACTATATATCTGTATCTGTCAAATACAACGATAAAATGGCCAACGTTGTCAATATGAACAGCCTGCTCAACGGCAAGGACTCGCGCTGGCTGCAGCTGGAGGTCTGTCGGGAGTTTCAGCGCAACAAGTGCTCGCGCCAGGACACCGAATGCAAGTTTGCCCATCCACCGGCCAATGTGGAGGTACAGAACGGCAAGGTCACCGCCTGCTACGACAGCATCAAGGTCAGTATATGCCCCAACCCCCACGCCCACCAACACCACCCTTAAAGGTCCCACATTCTACCCTCCCCCCTGACTTTTGCTTCTTGTGATTGTAGATTGTAAGCTTTATGATTTATAATTTCTCTCATCTCAAAACAATATGCCTCAAAATATCCCCAAAAAAAAAAAAAAAAAAAAAAAAAAAACCGAATTCGTTTAGGGCCTGAAAAACTGAAATGAAAAAAAAAAAATAAGCAAACTGATCTTGTCTCGCTTTTGTTGTTTGTGCTTATGTGCTTTTACTCCATTTTGTTTTTATGGTATCTCTGTGCTTCCATATATATATAAATATATCTTATTTAAACACACACACACACACACTACATCTAGTTGGAGCTTTAGTCTGGCTGCTGTCTGTCTCTCTCTATCTCTCTCTTAATGCCTGTGATGCCGGCGACTGCTGATGTGCCTGATGCGCCGGCAGGTGCAGCTTTTGCAGCCTATAGCTAGCGATCGATCCAAGCTTTTGGGGGCTTTCGTTTCGTGTGTCTTGTGTGCTTGAGTCCCCCCCGAGTAGAGAGCTTTAGCTTTATAGCCCTACATATATACAAATTAGAACAATTAAGAGAGTGTTGTTTCACCGCCCGAAAATCGATCATAACAATAATCCAAGTGTGAAATTCAAATGAATAATTCGAGTGATTTTTAGGCAACGCCACACTTAGACATGGATCATTTGCAGGTAAAGCTCATTTGATTTTAACGTTTTATTTAAGAACCTTAATCTAAGTCCCATGCCCAAAATTTGACACCAAAGCAGAGACCAAAATCAAAGCGTACCTTTAGATATTCAATCCTCTTGTAAAAATGTAAAAACAGGTTAAAATGAGCTCCTTTTTCGCAGGACAATGCCCAACACAGAAACACAGGCAACACAGGCAACACAGCCAAAAACAATGTAGTTGTTTTCTTTATTAAGCTTTTTGTTTTGTCCCCTCGGCAAACAAAAAACGAACGAAAGAAAAAACAACAAAAATGGCCACATAAAGTGAAGTATTTTATGTATACACTACATAATACTGACAAAATACCGACGCCGACGCAGACGACCATAATCATCATCATTATCATCCTGTCCATTCTGTTGGGGGCCTCAAATTTTGTGACAGCATAAAAAATTACGTTTTGAAAAATCGTGTGCTGCCGCCTTTTAGGCGTTTCGCCCAGCCGCTTGTTTGATCAACGGCAGGCAGCTCTCCTTTTGTTGTTTCAACAAAAACCCCAAAAGCGTTACAAGCCTTAAAGTTGGGGCATAGTTCGTACAGCAGCCTCAACCGTCCCATGCCACTGCCACTCCGCTCTCCGCTCTCCCCTCTCGGCTCTTTACTCTGTTGAGTCGAGTGTGCAAACAATAGTTAAAACTGCTGTTTGGTAAGTAGCTCGTTGCCGTTGAGTGGACGGCGAGTGGAGTGGAGTGGAGTGGGTGTGGGTGTGGAGGGGTCCTTCTTTTCACGCCTGTCCCGTCCCCCACCCGCTTAGCGAAGGAGGGCACATCGTTAATTGAGCCACTGCCTGGGCATGCAGGTCCTTTGGCTTCAGTTTTTAAATCCTACATTTGCCTTGTTTGCCATGGAACCAGCCGCATTATTACGGATACTGCAAAGAGGCCTGTTCCAGAATCTACTAGACTTTTATCCCAAAAAAAGCTACAGCTACGATACCGAAATCCCTTCAAGTCTTTTCTGTTTCCGGACTTATTTTACCTTATGGTAACCCCAAAAACAGATCTAGGCTCAGATTTTCAACGAGAGTTTTTCCATATGTACCATCTGGCGTAACCACAGCTGCGTGATACGCAAACTTCTGACTGTGCCATTCACATTAATTCACTTCTGTGGCTCCTCATGCCAAGGGGTAACATCTGTATACACACACACACACACACACACACACGGACGCAATGGTGACCCTTTGGGCCACTTGTAGTTTTTGCTGGCCCACTGTACACGCTGGGCAAATAAAGCTCAGACATTCATTGCCCACAAATTAATTGTGTTATCCTATTAATTAACTATGCAGTAAAGTTGCCGAGCAATTTCCCTCGCCTCTTTTATTCCCCCCCTCTCACTCTCTCTGTGCGCCTTTGAGTGTTGTAATTGTTAAGAGAGAGAGGGAGAGAAAGTGTGTTTGCACTCATTTTCACCTCTTTTTGTCGTGCGTCCCCTGCGTGCCAGCGTGCCGTAAGTGAGTGTGTGCTGAGGGTTTAAATGCATAACGAACTTAAACGTAACCAGCGGCAAGTAACCATACATACATACATATGTACACTCTCGTACATATAATAAAAGTACCACTACGACTACGAGTATGTACCGTACTGTACATATAATGGCGGCTGCCACCAGGCCAACCAGTTCGAGGACGAGGACGAGGAACGAGGCCTATATGCGGCTCCTGTGATTGTGTATGCCTACAAGTACATGGTTTTGCCCCCTGACAACTTTTTTTTTTACTGTGTGGCCACGACACTAATTTATAGCCACGTTGCCGCATTGGAGACTTTCCAACTGGCATTTCCACAAGCAGCTCAAGTTAAAGTAGAATTTCAAGTGGAAATTGGGTCAATGGCGGCGGGCGGGGGTAAAGTGTGTTATCCGCTGCTACATGTGCATATTATATTGAGTTTAGTATAGCTTCAACTAATTAATTACATATGGCATAGGAAGTTTGAATTTCGTTATCCGAGATTATCCAAGATTATCCGTGATGTTACGTAAGTTATCCATGATTATCCGACTGCATATCCAATCATTTTACAGTTGCCAATGTGAGGAAAATGTGTCTGATTAGTGAAAAAATATTATCCGTACTTATCCGAAGAGTTATTCCGTGTTTATTTTGTCAGAAGCTATGGCATAGAATTTTCCAGTAAGAAATATAATTTTATTATCCGAGCTTATCCGGTTGGGTTATAGACTATTTTACAGCCACCTACATGGAGAACTTTTCTATTTGCAGTCAATAAGTGTTATCCAAACTTATCCATTTAGATATTCAGGGTTTTCTTCTTCAACCGAATCGAGACTTTGGGCAGCCAAAGAACAATCTGAACAGATTACCCTCTGCCCTAGAGCAGGAATTGCTTTTAGCTCATCCAAGCGTTGCCTTTTGCTTGACGACCTCTGACCCTTTCGCAAAATTGGCATCATTTCATTGGCAATTTCCCCTCAATTTAATTCTGCCACAATGAGCCCGTCCTGAGACTTTAAAAGGCACTCGCGAAAAGGAGTGAAAGTGTGGGAAGAAAGAGCAGGAAGAGAAGGGGTGGGAGATGAAGAAGGAGACTGAGAAAAATCGCATAGCCACAACATAAAACATTTTCCGGTTTATAATTTTCTTGTCAACACAATTTTCACGCCATGCTCTGGCGCTGAGCGCCGGCCTTGCCCTCCGCCACCTCCAAGCCAACAACTGCTACAGCCACAGGCACAGGCACAGGCCAGCCGCCTTCGTCCCTCTTTCTGGGCTGCTGCCTTGGCTGGTGGTGCCACTTTATCCGGCGCTTTTCCTGCGCGTCCTTTCGCCGCTGCGCGCTTTTGCTACTTAACCAACTGTAAAGCTCTCGGCCATATTGTGTGGCACCTTATTTTTCTATTATATTTCCCCAGCACTGCCACTGCAACATATTTTCCACGTTGCCACCGCACTCCCCAGCCCCTTTTCGCTCCACCCCCTTGTCACTCGTTGTTCCGCTTTCCTTTCTCTTTCTGTGGGCAACAAAAGTCAAGTTCCCATGCCATGCAAATTATGAGTAAAAAAAAAAAAAACGTTGTGAAATAATGAAAATGGCGCCTTGCAAAAGAAAACGAAAATGGCAACTCTTCCGCTGGGCACCCCCAGAGAGGCGAGGACCACTTTTTCAACAACATTTCTCTCTCCATGGATTTGGCATTTGTTTTGTTCCAATTTATGTAGTTGACGCTTGCAATTTCCTGTATGCCCCGCGGCAGTATCGGATATGCTTTTGGATAATTACATTTTAAAGACAACAAGGAGAACAAGGAACGACTTTCCTCACTCCATAAGGGTATTCAATGTCATCCAATTATTTTTAATTCTATTTGTTGTGCAAGTATCTTTTGGTGCCCTTCCTTTGCATAGAATTGGAATCGATAATAATAATAAGCAGCAGTCGGACCAGAAGAAGTGAATGAGAAGAGCAAACCCAAAGAAGAGAAAACAGCCAAAGTCCAATTTAAATAAGAATTTCCAAATAAAAATGATATTCGTATTCGTATTCGTTTGGGGGGAAATAGAGCGAACACAAAGGAGAGCGGAAAATGGGTCTGGGGTCTGGAGTCTGGGGTTGCGGAGCCCCCATCTATCAATAGTGGTTCGAAGCAGTGGATGACTGAATGAAACGGCAAAGAGAGAAAACTTTACGACTGTCATTGGAATCAATGGAAATTGCAATGAATAATATTCGTAATTGCGGTGCGGAAGGAGGATTGTGGGGGGAAATCAGACACAAAGATCGCTGCTGCTGCAACAGATACTTTTGTATCTTTTTTGAATCGTTTTCTTGAGTGATGCATCAGAGAGCTTAAAGCACCTGCTGAAAAATCTCCTTCAAGTGCAGCTCAGTGCAGTGCAGTGCCAGTCCTCCATTATCCCACACATTGCAGCGATTGCTTTTTGCCACGTTGCCTGCTGCATTGCAGCAGCAGCCAGCAGGCGGTAGGGTGGTGGTTGGGCGTAGGGTTTGGATCTCCGCCTAATTTGTTATGCCTTACACGCGTTGCACTTGGAAATTCCGCAACAAACTTCAAGTCAATAACTCAGCAGAGCGACGACTCCACGACTCCCCAGCACTTAATGCATTATGCAACAGCAAGTTGTGGCATGTCCTTGCAACACACACACCCACACCTACACCACCCAAACATGTGTGTGTGTGTGTGTGTGTGTGTGTGGTGTGGAGCCATTTCGCAGTTGCTGAAACTTACACAATTCATTCGGGT